AACAGGGTAGTATGAGTCAACATATATTATCTTAGTCGGCGAGCAGCCCATGCCAAAGCGCAATAAGTTTTCTCGAGCAGTGAGTATCTTGTTTCACATTCGGTAAAAATTTTGTGATTCTTGCGCTGTAAATGCAATTAAATGGTACCAATAGCTTGCAAACAAGATGATGAACAAGAATATATAATTAAAACATGCTTATGATACGTAAAACATGGTAAACGATTTTGAGTTCTTAGTGCAAACCGTGGTGGATGGTGAGCACGATTCCGGGCATTTTGAAACTTGGGGATGGGTGGAATAGCTTCCTGAGACGCCAAGGAGTGTATTGCTGGCCTTGAACTGCTTTGAATCACCCTGTAGAAGGAAATCCGATCCCCACTTTTTTGTCCAAAAATTGAATCTTGTTCTTGCTGTTTCACGCCTTCAACCCTTGTGTTTTTTATCTGGAATTATTATGCACTTATAGTAGACTGAATTAGGTCAACAAAATTGGCATGAATCTTCGAGAATTATGAAAATTGGATTTGATTTGCTTCATGTATGATTTCTTTCCAAAACTTGCTTCAATCCAATCTTTTTCAACCCTAATGAGCCTTGCACGAATTGGCTGGCATGCTAGCTGTATATGGACTCAAAATGTGCACAAAAATTCCAAGATTTGATTTGTTTTCATTATTTTACCATTTTATTTTATTTATTTTGATTTAAATGAATAAAAAATCAAAATAAATGATAAAAGTAATAAAATAATAGGTGGAAAAGCTCAGGGGTCGTGGGTCCTATTAGAAACATGCTCCAAGCAAGAAAACATGGCCCCCTTTGGAAAAAATGCAAATTTGATTAATGTTGACTTTTGACAATTTTCCAAAAATTGCTAACTTTGACAATTCCCAACTATCTCAATTTTGATCCTAGGAGGATGTTCTTGGACTTTTTAGAAATCTTAGGATGTCCCCTAATCAACCCTTTTGGTCTCATCTCAATTGAGTCTTCCATGTTCATGTATGAAGCTTTGACCCAAAAGGTGTTTTTGTTAACTTTTCAAAAGGACCTATAATGTCAAAATTCATATCTCTTTGTGAGTGCACATTTTGAACTTGTGAGATGAAGATGAATTGTAGGGAATTGCGTCCTCTTCAAAATGGGATTTGGATGGGAAATTTCTGATAAAGTATGAAGAAGTTATGATTGGTCAAAGTTGGGTTGGCTTTTATTGAGAAACCCTAATTTAGCAACTTTTGGGTTTTGATGAATTTGGAGCATTTCTTGAGGAATCATGATCAACCCTTGATCAAATTATGGATATAGCTTCAAAATGTTGATGTTGACCAAAAATCTTGAGGTTTGACTGTATGTGGGCCACAGTTGACTTTTGACCTAGTACAGTCGATTCTCAAGCATCTGAGCAGTTAACTGAGCAAACTTCTTATACAAGACATGAAACTTGACATGGATGATCTTGGGAGAATATTAGGACCTTGGAAAGCATTTGGGGCTTTTGTGGCTTACCCATCTTGATGAAAATAGAAACCCTAATTTCGAGGTGCACTGCCTTAGGAGAGAGTTTGTCTAGTCAACTCTTGGACTTCCTTGAGCAACTTGGGGACCTCAATTGATATTTGTTGAATAAAATGGGAGGGCAAATTTTGGGGTACAACAGAAAGTATATAAAAGAATGGAACGACTCTCAGAAGAAATATTGAAGCAACAATTAGAGTTAAAAGAACACTCAAAATTCACAAAATAAACGAGAAAGAATTAATCAGAAAGGAAATTAAATTAATTGAGAAAGAAATATAATTTCTAAAATCCAAGCTCAAAGGAAAAAATCCATTTGAAGAAAATAAATTAAAAAAACTGAATAAATGGTACGTAGTGTTTAATGGTCAATTTCTAGAAATTTATGATAAATGGTATAAAGCAGTCCCCTATTATACAAAAATATCAGAAATTACTTATAAAGGATATGCCATCAAGGAAGAGGCTGAAAAAGTAATGATGATCACAAAGAATTAGAAAAATCAAGAAAAGAGATTTATCTTGGTCCAAGAACTTTTTCTGAAACAACAAGAAATAATGCACCCGAAAGAACATCGATGAAAATCTTAGGGAAAATTCATTCTTCTTTAGATAATTTACCAATTATATCTCGAAAAGAGCATGATATTCAAGTAAAATTCTCTGAAGAAAAATTTAAGGAGAATCTCAAAAGACTTACTCAATGAACTAAAAGAAAAATACTAATTGCTTTTATATGGTGGATAGAAAGATTTTGGAGTAAAAACTATAATTATCCCTGGAGCACTTCAATTACTAGCATTTAATATGTTCTAATTTGAACTTATCTAATGCCTTTATTTGAGTAAAAATCTGGAAGAAGTTAATCTATTCCCATATAATTTTAAAGAAACGGTTCAAAATTTCAAAATGAATATTGCGGGAGAGAAATGTTTATATGAAGTTTTATTCAGTTTTTTGAATTTTACCAAAATCAACCGGCAAAGCACTTTATCTTTATTGTAGTACGTAATAATAAATTTCCTCAAAGAGATAAATCCCAAGAGAAAATGTATAATGTAGATCAATTAAATAAGATTTTGTTCAATCAACTTTCAAGTATATTCTTCTAATGTCAAGCTATTGGAAGAAAGAACTCATACGTAAAAGTATTATACAAAACATCCAATCTCATACTATTAAGCAAGACAAGTGAACAATCATTAAATGATAGAGATGTTCACTTATTGACCACTTTTGAGTGTCTATTCTATACATTTAATATGGAAACAATTAATTATAGTCCATGTGTACTCAATGATTTATGTTCTATCATAAAGAAGAATGAGAACCATGCATGTGAGCATGTTTCCAAAAAAAGGATGTTGTGGAAACTAAGTGTTTAGAGAATTCTATGTGTCTTTAATGGAGAAGATAAGGATGAAGCAATTAATGGATGATTAAGTGATTTGTCATATAGTCTTTTAGTGTTATAAAATAATGTAGTACCATAGATGAATAGCATTATAAATTATTGTAAAAATAATATTACAATGTGTTTTTAGGTCCATAAATAAGTGCTTCTATAATAGTATGAAGCGAAAAAACCATTTTGTATAAATTTCTTTTAAGAAACATATGCTAATCCACTAGGATTTAGTTTGACACTCTTTGTGCTTTGTTCTTATCTTTCTTGTATCAAAAAACTACTATCAATAAAATTATATTTCAACTTATTCAAGAATCATTCCATTACTTGCATAAAGTTACAGAAGTAGCTATGGATCTAAAATTCCGACTTAATAGAAATTATGATCAGGTATAATTACTTTATTTACTTATTTTTTTATCCAGTATTACATTGCCTTTGATTTTCAAAATTAGTTTATATTTTTAACATAATAAAAATAGAAAAAGAAATGATAAGTGATATAGAACACTTACATATTAGTAAAGAAGATGAAAATTATGAAAAAAGTATTTTAATAGATCCAACTTTATTTCAGAAAATACAAAAGGAAAATTTACATTTAAGTAAAAATACAAATATGAAGGGTAAAGAAAAAATTGGAGAAATAATAAAGAGATTTAATTAAAAAGATAATATTATATATTATAGAAAACTAATCAATGAAACAACAAGAGACATAGCAGATGCCCGAAGACATACTTATATATAATTATTAAATAAAAAAAAATTCATGGAACTCAATAAAATATAAAGAAGAAAGAACATAGAAATAGAATAGAATATATTCATATAGGAGCAATATAAGTATTAATTAAAGCAATCTTTCAACGAGGAATAAATTCTTCAATGAAACTAACATTAAAAGATGGTAGAATTACAGACTTAGTAGATAAAATACTTTGAGTTGTAGAAAAAATTTTAGCTTATGTTAAATTAAAATTTGAAATACATCCTAATATTGGAATACCTTTAAATACTCAAAGACTAGATCAAATTTTAACACTTTAACACAAATTTCATAGAGGAATTTAATGAGACTAGGAAATAAAATATTTTCAATTACTCATTGTGTTAATTATGCTCTAACTAATTTTTACCACAGTATTACCTTTAAAAATAACAAAAGAAATTATATTTCAAGTCTTGTTGAAGATATAAGAAAATTTATTATCTAAAGGAAAATGAAATAACTGAACTGGAAACTTTTATGAGCATATCAAAAATTTTAGAATTAAGAAAAAATCAAATACCATAACTACTTAAATTTCATGAATCTAAAATTGAAGAAAGTGATATTGATAAATTATCAAAACTTAACAACATATTTAAAGAATAAACTATAATTTTAAAACAAAATGAATATTGTTGAATTTAGTATAAAAGAAAAAGAAAAGGAAATAATTATTAAAATAAAAGATATGGATATAACTTATTTTGATAATATTGAAAATAAAGAAAATGATTTTTATAAAAAATTAAGAAGTATTTGGAAATTTAACTTGACATAAAAAAAATATGTAAAGAATATGGAAAATTATGTAGACAAACTGTACATTTTAAAAAATAAATAGATTATGCAATAGAGTGTGATATAAGGGATAGATTATATTTTTTTAGTTGAAAGTATGTATGATAATGAATTTATAATAGATTTAGCTTTAATAGAAAATGTTGAAATATGACAAAAAAACGGTACTTAACTAATCATCTAAAACTCTATCAAAATATATTTTTTAACATCGATTCAAACCAAACCGTTAATCCTCCCTAATACGCTTAAGTTCCAAACACTAACAATCATTCAATTATTAGCATGCAATTACAACGTAGACATAAACATGCACAAACTTAACAAAGAGTCCAATTATTACTAACCATTTACCACCCGTTATTATTGAATCCATGATCAATGCAATGAAAAAAAAATTATTTTCATAATTCAATATGATGTAAAAAAAAAAAAAACATAAAAACCAGTTCATAGTTTCACAATACAAGTAAAATATAAAACGATCTCAGCACCATACAACTAAAAAAACCTTTCATAAGCTTCTGAACCTTCCATGTATGAAATCATCTCTGGTTCCAAACGAAGCATTCGAATACTTCTTATCATTTTAAGTTCAGTTATGCGTTCAACTGTTGCCTCGTAACTTTCTTTATTCCTGTAATTCGATATGGTTTTATAATATTGAAGCTGAAGTTCTGCAAGTTGCTCTAATTTCGTAATTTGCTTGCTTAGATCACTAACATCAACATAGTTTAGCTTTTGCATAACATCCTTCGCGATTTCTTCAACAAGTTCAGATTCTGTTCTGTTTATAAAAACATCGAAAATAAATGCATGTCGAAAAAATTTCTAGATCTATATATGATATTCATGTATCAAATTCTCAAATAGCGAAAACAAAAAAAATTAAAAATTGTTGATTTATAAATATCCTCCGGCCCAGAAAATTTATCTCTGGACCAAAAGTTTAATCTCGTATGTGAGTTGAGTTATCTATTTTATCTTACAACTGAAATAAGTAAAATTTAAATGTAGAAAAGTACCTGTTGATGTTGGACAAGGAATCCCATCCAGAAGTATTGGCTGCTTCACCCAAAGCATCTCTCCATTTTTGCACCATGTTCATTTTATTCGCGTAACGTTCTTCATGTTTCGCAAACGCCTCAGCGTAACTTCCTCTTTGATGTCGAACATGGAAAGGATCAACTTCATAGAAAACTGGCAAAATAACTTGCCTATTACTTTTCCTACACTCAAGTATCTTCACAACTTCATCTAAACACCATTTTGAATTCGCGTAGTTTTTCGAGAAAACTATCACAGATAGTTTCGCTTCCTCAATCGCTTTGAGAAGCGCGTGTGATATTTCATCTCCTCTTTCTAGATTGTCGTCGATATAGGTCTTTATATCTAACCTTCTTAGTGCACTATTGAGATGGCTTGTGAATTTCTTGCGAGTATCGTCGCCTCTGAAACTAAGGAACACTTCATGTGTTTCTTTTGGTGTGGTAGAGGAAGAAGAAGAGGATGATTTTGACATAATGTTCAGCTAGATTATCAGACTTGTTGATATCTTGAAGATTGAAATTCTTTCTCTCTAGTTATTCTATAAATACTATACTTTCTTTAGTTTAATAGATTGAAGCAGCTTCCTAGAAGTTATTGAAAATCTAATATATATTATAAGCATAAAAACTAATCCAAATTTAAAATTAAAAATTAAAAATTAAAAATCAAATTTCATCAATATAATTAAATTATGTGTCTAGGGTTTGCAGGACTGAAATTCACCTTTTTTTTTTAAATAAATAAATGGGACGTTGCAGATTCAAACTCGTATATTTGATACCTACACAATGAGTTGGATTAACGAAAAAAATGTGAAAGATGATTACAGCTAGATCATAAAAAGTCTACTCCATAAAACTAGCTAGTGGTTGTTGAAAATATGTACAAAACAATGTGTACACACAAGTTGGCAATATTTTAAGTGATGAGAACAGAATTGAGAATAATTCCAGCTAAATCGTACGTATCACATATCATATATCATATATCATATAAAGGATGAACACTCTCATAATCACATATCATATATAAAAAGGGTGAACACAAGTTCTATATTTTATTTTATTTTTCTAATAAATTTAAATTTTGAGTTAATTTTTTGTATACAATACTTATTTTCAATAAAAATAATTTGTGTAGTAGAAGTTTTTCGTATAAAAAGTCTATTTCGTAATAAAAGACAGTAAGAAAAATTTACTGATTGAGATTTACTATTAAACATTCAAGTAGTTGTTTCTATTATATATGTGTGTGTTCTATTGCGAATAAGCAATATGAATGAATGTTGAAAGCATGTCTATAAGAAATATTCTCATCTCATTATATAACTGATCGTATCTGATTAAAGTGATCGTCAAGGTCTTATGTCGAGCAGAAGTTGAAAGCGAGATGGAAATACCTGCAAAACACTCTGATGTCAAAGTAAGTTTCAGGGAGAGTGCAAGCAAGTGTGAGTATGAGTATGCGAATGAATATCTGACTCTCTCAAATTTATAGCCTCCAGCGATGGGTCAAGGTCCCCATTGTTGGGTCACGATGAGGCCCAATAATGAAGACTGTCAGGACTTACGTGTGTATGGAGTTCAGCAAGTCACTACAAAATAAGTTGAGTTTTGACACGTGAAAGTCACGCCGCTAACACCCAAATCACGTCACTACTCAAATTTTGCCACCTTAAAGAACACGTCGCTATATAGCGCGTGACAATCTTGTTGCGGCGTGAAAAACATGTCACTAAGTTGCCACGTGAAATTCACGCCGCAACATACTGTATAGGATAAAAGCAATTCAGAGCAGAGCAGTGGGTCAGAGCAGGTTTACAATTTTTTTCACGTCACTAATTAGTGACATGAAAAACACGCCGCAACTTGTTTTATTTTAAAAAAAAATATTTTATGTTTTAAATATATTAATTATGTTTTAATAATTAATATTATTTTTTGTTTTATTAAATTTATAAATTAAATATTATAATTTAATTATTAAATACAATATTATTAATCAAATTATCAAAAACAAAACTAAATATATCTAAATGTATAAATAAATATACTTAATATTATAAATTTAATAAACTCAAATTTAAATTTATAATATTTTTAAATATACCATATCATTATAAATTTATATTACACAAATAAAAAACTAAATACAAAATAAAAATAAAACTAAGCAGAATCGTCGTCGGAAATGTCGGGAAGAAAGTCATCATTATTTTGGTGGTTATTATTTTGGCCACCACTGTTGGGATTTCTACCAAATGCTTGCATAAATTGTCGCATTTGCTCCTCCATATCAGCTTGCCTCTTCGCCATTGCCTCAATTTGTCTATTATGTTCACCCCTCATTGCCTCCATTCGGGCATCCATTTGGGCATCCATTTGGGCCTTCAATGCCGCCTCACGATCTTCGGACTCGCGTCTAGCCAATTGTCTTACCAGTTCTAACTGATCCGGTGTCAAATTTGTTTGACGTGACCCTCCTTCACCGTCTGCAGCTCTCTGATACAGATTTCTATCCCCACTCCTCAAGGTGCCCGCCAAATTTCCACCACCAAAAAAACACCCGTTAGGCCCCTTTCCCCCAACAACTTGACTCCAAATATAGAAATCCACATCTGGGTGAACCGGTTTTTCTGGACGAGGCGTATACTGAGGATTATGGGTCAGAAATTCTACAAGCAACGCCTGATAATCCTCCTACACATACAATAAAAAAATCAAGTTTATTGTATAAGTAATATTAATGAAATTAAATGAAATAAAAATAATAATAAAAAAAAATAGCCACGTGATTGTAACGCCACAACTTATCAGTTGCCACTCAATTTTCACGCCACAACATGTCATTCTACATGAAAATCACGTCACAAAATTGCTTAAAAAAATATAAACATAAATTTACTTACCAGGGCTTTTTTTGTGCGCTCGTTAGTAAATCCTCCCAATTTCTTTGTCCGAGTCTCCTTAACCAGCTCCGTCATCAATGGTTGTCTCCCCAAACGCTTAGCCTAAATATAAAAATTAACTTAAATTAATAATATGTTATAAATCCAAATATGACCTTAAAAAGTGGTAATAATTACCATGCGTCGAGCATGCTCAGCAGTACTAATACTTCCAACAGCATTAATGCAACCCCCTTTTTCAGATGCCCTCATCTTCTTTGCAGTTTCAGATTTAGCCTTAAATTCATCTGATTCCCAATACTTAAGAAGTTGTTCAAAAACTTCTTTGCCTATCCATTTGGGACGAATGCCCAAAAGATGTCAATTCTCTCTAACACGTCGTAGCATGTCAGAAAGTCGTCTTGAACTCCTCCCAAAATATTTTTTTTTTACTTTGTTATGGTTCAGGGGATCCCAAACACATTTCGCCTGCAATATTGTATGACATTAAAATAAATAGTTAGATAAATTATAACAATAATGAAAAGGTCATTTAAATAAAAATAACTTAAGAAATAAATTAATTATACCTGAAATTGCTTGAACCATTCTTCTTTATCGGAAACTTCTCTAAAACTCTTCAAAAATGTTGTATAATTCTGTTGAATTATATAATTGATAACCTTAGCAGCAGTCCGACTCGGCCCGAAACTAAAACAACAATAATTGAATTAGCATAATTAATTATATAAAGTTATATTAAAAATGGAAATGTATACTTATAAATAAAAATCAATAAATAAGAAACTTACGAGTTCCCTTCAGGCCATATCCAAAATCTCCCATCAATGGTATGAATCTCACTCGGATCATCATCCCCTCGAAGATCTCTCCCATCTATCTGATCATCATCCCCACCAAGATTGTCATCGTCCGACTCTGTGTGGGATGTGGGGGTGCGACCAGTCTGTGTGGGTCGTGAAGAGGTGGATCCTCCAGGCTGCTGGACGGATGGGGGCATCTGGGTAGGAAGTGGGGTGCTGGATCCTCCAGGCTGCTGCACGAATGAGGGCATCTGTGTGGAAAATGGAAAACTATGCTGGAAGGATGAGGGCACCTGTGTCTGCTGGAAGGATGGCACATGTGTCTGCTGGAAGGATGAGGGCACCTGTGTCTGCTGGAAGGATGAGGGCACCTGTGTCTGCTGGAATGGTAAACCAGGTGGGGCCCCAGATGGACTAATAAAACATGTACTCCCAGATGGGAACTGAAGAGGACTCTGAGATGATAGTAATGGAGTAAATGGCATAGTACTGTCCATGGACATATGATGAACCTGACTCTGCGGGGGAGGACACGTGGCTGAGTGAGGTGACTGGCATACTACTACCCTTGGACGCCTGGGCTTCCTACCACTATCACTAGGACCTTTACCCTTATTATCTTTGGGTGGCATTTTTACCTAATTAAAGAAAATACAAGTTAACATATACATATTCTCATGAATACATATTCATTAAATCATTCAATAAATGGTTCTTTGAGTAAAATTACAAGACACAATTCTCATGAATACATATTCATTAAATCATTCAATAAATGGTTCGTTAAGTAAAATTACAAGACACAATTCTCATGAATATAGGTTCACTATTCTGAATCGTCATGCTCGTCATCCATTTCATCATCGTCATCTGATGTGATACTATCCTCAGATCCAGAATCTTCATGATCTTTATGATCTTCATCCTCATCAACTTGATTCCCCTCAATCATTATATCAGACAAACTTGTAGTGTGTTCATCTGGAATCACATCATTAACTTCAACTTCATCCACTTGGTAAGCAACATCCTCCACTAGATCGTCAGTTTCAATATGACCCAATGGTTTTGTTTTTATTACAACACAACACCGACGTTTACGTGGCACAAATGAAGGATAAGGAACATAATAAACTTGCCTAACAATATTTGACATTATGAAAGGGTCGTACTCTTTGTACCTCCGGTCCATTTGAATCTCAACAGTACCATATGTCTTATCTATTTTTGTGCCTCTAGTTGGATCATACCATTCACAATAAAACAAGACAACTTTATTTTCCGAGTCCAAGTAATTGTATACTAACTCGTAGATATGTTTAACAAAACCATAGAAGTCATCTTCACCACCATCTGTAACTCATTTCACAAATACGCCACTATTTATGGTTTTTTTTCCCTTCAGTCCATTCATGAGTGTGAAATTTATATCCGTTCACGAAGTATGTGTGCCATTTGTTTGCACTTTGACGAGGGCCATTAGACAAGTTTCTCAAATGGAGTATTTCTGGAGTCGGTGCAACAACCCTATACAATTTCTCCTTGAACCATGTTGGAAATTGGGCATGAATGACACCAGATGTTGATTGTACACCGGTACTTTCAAAGTAGGCGTTGTTAAATTCCCTAAAAAGAAACACACTATAAGTTTCAAGGTAATCAATTTTATATATTCACACTGTAAATAAAATTAAGAAGTTGGATTATACTTACTCAAGATATGGTTTAACTTCAATGCAGTTGATCAAGACATGAACATGT